TCTTCCTCGTGCGTATGGTAGCAGTTGTACGTCACGCGGTCGTATTGGCCATTCAGCGTTGGTTCGCTCATCGGAACGAATAGGAAGCTAGTTACAGCCTCTGCAACGCTAGCTCTGTAGTCACATAAGACCGCCGCATCGATACTTCGTTTGATGCATTATCGGTTCTCGCTCGTCAAGTCGCCAATGCTGCCGTAATGCAGCTTACAGAATCCCACGCACCATAGACCTTCTGGCGCAGCGAAAGGTTGCATTGGGATTCTGAGATGGTGGCGCGATATGCAAGGAGAGCCGCATGTTTAAATGCGGTTGAGCTACCTGAAAGAATCCTTCTTGGAGTAACCTCATGCATTCACCCTCGCATCATCCCACTGTTTACGTCCCCAGCATCTTCTCAGCTCCAAAACAAAAAGGAGGTGTTACACAGACATTAGACGTGGTTCGAGAGCCTCAGATTAGCCTATAAGGCACGGGCCTGGCGATACGCAGATAAAGACTCGGAATATTGTTGGATAGCCTCCTACGAGATACTACCGTAGGACTGGATCACACGTCGAAGGGTTGCGTCTAAACATGAAGGAGCGAAGTGCATTTTGTGTAATCCTTACATCCCTGAGAACATCTCGGCATTCAAGGATCAACACTTTGTCATATCTTGCAAGCACTGAAGACGCTTCCAAAGCTACCTATACATCCTTCTTTCTAGCTTGTATATTGTCGGACGAAGATGCTCTCCAATGTGGCGAACGTCAGGTATCTCGGTAGATAATCATACACCTTTCCAGCTTGCATCCGAGTGATACAGCCCGTAGTCCATCGAAGCCCCACGTTCATCGGAAACCAACCGGCATGCAAAACAACTTTTCGTTCATGTGCAGCCTCGAGGTTCAGAACAGATCAACTTGCGAATCAACTCCTAGCAACTTGACATAATGACGCCGAAGGTATCTAAGAGGTTGCATATGCATTCAATATTTCCTGTCTGATCCCGAACGTGTTCCTATCGAACCACGTCCTATTTATACAAGAGTTCTGGTCAGAGTCTATCGTAAAGCTGTTTCTCTATATCCTGTCCTTCTAAGCCTATGTCTATATCTGCCTGAGTTCTTAAAGATTAGACGAACGAGTATTATATAAACGAGAAACTACAGCGAGCCAACTTACGATGAGTCAAACTACAACGAGTGAAAAACATGATGGCACTCTCCTGAAGCCAAGTCTACGAGATGGACGAGCTGGCAAGAAGGACGTAGACTTGCCAGCATATTCTGATCCCGAAACGGGCCTGCTATCCAAGCTACCCCGTTCATGGATCCCGTACGCTCAGCTAATGCGTATCGACCGGGCCGCCGGTCTCTACGCCTTCTACTTCCCCTATCTCATCGGCCTCATGTACGCCGCCTGCATTGCGCCTACGCCTCCCAAACCGCCCACTCTCCTGGGGCTCGCCGCAGTCCTCTTGCCCTTCAACATGATCCTGCGCGGCGTCGCGTGCACCTGGAACGACAACGTCGACCAGGAGTTCGACCGGTACGTGGAGCGGTGCCGCCTGCGACCCATCGTGCGGGGCGCCGTGTCGACCGCGCAGGGCCACGTCTTCACGCTGGCCCTGATGGCGGCCGGCTACCCGTTCCTGACACTGTTTCCGGCGCCCGCCGCGCCGCACATGCTTTTTACCGTGGCGCTCTTCTTCGTCTACGCGCTCATGAAGCGCGTCACGTTCTATCCGCAGGTCGTGCTCGGCGTCCCGTTCGCCTGGGCCGTCTTCTTCTGCATCGCGGCTCTGGACATGCGGCCCTTCGCCGGCGAGCACTTCGGACCGACGCTGGCCATGTTCGCCGCGAACGTCCTGTGGACGATCACGTACGACACGATATACGCGCACCAGGACGTCGCGGACGATGAGAAGGCCGGGGTCAAGGGGATGGCTCTTCGGTTTAGGGACAGTACAAAGCTTCTCGCAAGCGTATTATCTATAGTACAGGTTGCCCTTCTGGCGTTGTGCGGGTCGTGGGCGGGCTTTGGCGCTGTTTATTTCATAGGGACCGTCGGCGGTGTTGGGGCAGCCTTGGCTTACTACATTTACGCTGTCGACTTGAAGCTACCCGAGAGCTGCGGCGCCTGGTTTCATACCCAGTTCTGGACTGTGGGTAGCGGGTTCATTGCTGGACTTGCAGGTGAATATGTAACAAAAGTGTTTGCATAGGAGACTAAGCTTAATCTATGTCATCCTAGCAAGTACGAGTTTAGGGGTCATCGCAGAGCGCAGAGAAGGGAGTTCGCTGCGATATCACCATTTGCGGGAGAAGTTAGACAATACAGCACGTGGAGTCTACGCTGCGCCACATGTTTGAATATGGATGAGGTGTTCTAAGAATAACCGTTTCGATAGGTGTGAAGAAGCTTGCTATTTTGCGAATGCTTGAATTCTACTTAAGTATCTTGATTCAGTGTCGTCTTCGCGCCACCAGAGGGCGAGATGCTGGTATCCGTTACCGACAACTCAATGATCCATTAAGTTACCCTGGATACCTACCTAGCCTATAGAAAAAGGTAGATACTTGGAAAGGAGTGGAACTATTAACTTGGCAGAATAATTTGAGAAACTGTATAGCTCGTTGCGACGAAAATCTCTCGCGAGTTTCAAACCAAGCGGATAATTTCCCTGATAAAAACTAAGACCTCCGACACATACAAGTCACCTTATGTATAGCTATTTGATAGATTACACAAAATATGCCAAGGCTTTTAGTTTAATAGGAGCTAGTCTAAACGCCATGCGTATACTTACATAGCAGACAGGAAATTCATACTACCTGAACATTGAGACGAGCTTATGGCTATCCTATCAGTAGGATTCAAATACAGTAGGAGGAATTTAGGCTATTTTCCAACGTGTAATGTCACTTATATACCTAATGTAAAATGTACACATATAGTATCTTTAGAGAAAGTCGCAGCCCGGCTAACGGGTCGCATGGTTAAGAGACAATACGTGCCTAAGGTGTTATCCTCTGTCATTTTAATGCGGACATTGAGGATAACTCCAGTTACGCATATTTTGGATGGGCGATGAGGGGGGGCAGGATGGTTGTGAATAGCTTCGAATACCACTTAGCGTCTTGGGGAGGCAGTTTAGCTAATTCCAGATAAGTATATGCGCACGAGGGGTAATACTCCAAAGGATACGACGATCGCATATTAAGTGTATAAGTGGCTCTTTTATGTTACAGATCATTTTTTCTTGATACGGAATATCATATCATAATAGAACGACTGTCGTCACAAAAAAAGGAGTTACGCGTCTCCGCTCCTTGTATTGACCACTAACGGGGATACGAGCGAGCTTGATCATACGCTTATAAATCAACAGAAGCAAGTATAGTCGCTTGATCGCCTGCCACGTCAAGTTGGGGTTAAGATGAGGAGTATCTCCGACTGGCACCGGCCCAGAGCTATTGCGTGATTCTGAAGTAGTTGTCGCCATCATGTTTAGTACGGTGATACAGCAGGTATAAAGCACGGCGTTTCTGATCCTCTGGAACTGATCTAACTTTGGATAATCGAAAGAACCTCCAGGAGTGACCATCAAAGATGCCTACCGAGTTTATTAGTGTGACGTTTCCGAACCCGTCGACGGAGCTCGAGCCGCTCTCGAATCCGGCGATCGATCCGGACTACCTGATCCGATACGCCCGGAACCTGGACGACTACGAGTTCAACTACACGCTCGTGCCGTACGACTCGTCGTACTTCGACCCCTTCACCATCGGCGCCACCATCGCGGCGGCGACCAAGAAGCTGAAGATCATCATCGCGCTCCGGCCGAACACCATGTACCCGACAGTGGCGGCCAAGATGCTGGCGACGCTGGACCAGCTCAGCCGGGGCCGGGCGGTGGTGCACTTCATCGCGGGCGGCAGCGACGCGGAGCAGGCGCGGGAGGGGGACTTCCTGAGCAAGGACGAGCGGTACGGGCGGCTCGAGGAGTACATCAAGATCCTCAAGCGGGCGTGGGCGTCGTCGGAGCCGTTCGACTGGGAGGGCAAATACTACCAGTTCAAGCAGTTCCGCAACCGGGTGCGGCCAGTCAACGGGAACAGCATCCCGGTGTCGGTGGGGGGCTCGTCGGCCGAGGCGTACCGCGTGGGCGGCAGCCTGGCCGACATCTTCGGGCTGTGGGGGGAGCCGCTCAAGGAGACGCGCGAGCAGGTCGACCGCGTCTTTGCCGAGGCGGCCAAGGCGGGGCGGGCCGACCGCCCGCGCATCTGGGTGACGTTCCGGCCGATCGTGGCGGAGACGGAGGAGCTCGCGTGGGCCAAGGCGCACCGCACGCTGGACGCGTTGCAGGGCAACCGCGCCGACATGTTCGAGAGCGGCCGCGCACCGGCGGGCGCGCCGCCGCCGCAGAACGTCGGGTCGCAGCGGCTGCTCGACATCGCGAAGCGCGGCGAGGTGCAGGACCGCGCGCTGTGGTACCCGACGGTGACGGCGACCAACGCGCGCGGCGCCTCGACCGCGCTCGTCGGCTCCTACCAGACCATCGTCGACTCGCTGCTCGACTACGTCGACCTCGGCGCCGAGCTCATCTCCATCCGCGGCTACGACAACCTCAATGACGCCATCGACTACGGCCGCTACGTGCTGCCGCGGGTGCGCGCCGAGCTGAAGAAGAGGGGGGAGAGTGGCGTCGAGGCTAATGGCGTTCATTAGGCGGCGGCCGTGGATGCTGCCCACCAACGGGACTATTGTCTTTGGAAACGAAAGACTGCCTGAAAGACCGATATCAGCTAAATCGAAATCTATTGATAACTCACATCTTGTGCTTCGCTCTTGGGCCAGTTCACCTGCTGTTTGTACTGGTCTGCATTTAGTCGGACCCATTCCTAAGCTCCAGCTAAGAATGCCTCCCCATCTTTCTGAAGACAAGTGGTCCAGCCTACAGGTAGGAGGTACTTAGATGAAATTAAACAACTTTATATCATATCACGTGAGTTACAGGCGCTTTGGTGGAGTGGCCTAACACGTTGCCCTGCTATCTTCCGATAGCTGCTTGCAAGGCAATCCCTTCGGGGGCGCAGGTTCGAATCCTGCAGGCGTCGCTTACTGAGTTTGCTCTTTTTTTCGACTTTCGATATTATTTTTTCCATCTACAGAACTTCAAGGCCTATATCCGAAGTTGCACGTGTATTCGGCCGGAATACCAACAGACCTAGGAACCCCCCAACACCTCGCTCATCGTTATCCAGCACGCCCTTTAAGAAACCATGCCTCCGCCGGGAAGAGTGGCCAACCCTATTACCAAGTGTTAGATACCAAAAGAAATATTTCGGAGGGTAAAGTATGCACCTACAGCTGTCAATGTCCTCGCCGACCATGTCCTTGACCTTGCACTGGTTCTGAAGCGCGACACTCTGAGACTTGAGCGTCGGCGCCGACACGTAAGTGTGGCCGTCGAGGTGCTTCTGCAGGGAGTCGTCCTTCCAGCCGAACATGTAGTCGGCGTGGCTCGAGTAGCCGGTGGCGTCGCCACTGGACCAGACGAACGGCTGGCTGCCGTCGGCGAAGTCGGCGGGGTCGTTGAAGGCCCGGGTGTCCCAGACGGTCTCGAGGAGGATCTGCGGGAGCCGGACGGGGTGGGTCGAGGGGCAGGGGCCGCCCGACTCGAAGGTGCCCGACTCCGGGTAGGCCACGTGGTCCTGGTGGTTGGGCGAGTCGAGGTTCTTGCCGTCCCAGCACGTCGGGAAGCGGTGGTTGGCCATGATGCCGCCCGGGCACGGCCGGCTGGGGAACTCGACGTACTCGGGCGCGCGCGTGCCCGAGTTCTGCATGCAGATGTACGTCAACTGCCGGAAGTCCCTGGCCTGCTCGCGGTCGCGGAACGTCGAGTCGCCGACGAGCATGCGGAAGCCGGGCTTGAAGGCCGTGACCGAGGACCTCTGGGCCGTGTCGAACAGGGCGTCGCTCATGTAGTAGACGGTCTAGAGATGATGAGTTTCGTCTTCAGGCAGCCTGGCAAATGGATATGTATCTGCTTACCATGCCGCCCTGGTTACCCATGGTCTGGGCCATCTGCGGGACCCTCTTGAAGGTGCCATTCTTGGAGCGGTAGAAGATGACGGCGGTCCAGTAGTTGGACAAGTCCTCGGAGAACTGACAACTCGTGCAGGTCGAGAGTCCTGGCAGATCATGCTCCTCGGCGGGCATCGACACGTTGAAAGAGTTCTAGGGCAAATTAGTTAAAAATGTCGAATTTTGGCGAACCAGAGAAAAAAAGAAAGACGCACGCCTCCGATAATCTGATGAAGATGCGCAGATGGGTTCACGCCCGGCTCGACCAGCGGATCCAGACGCTGGACGGTCAAGGCCGAACAGCCAAATCGAAGGAGGGCGCTCGCAGGCGCGAATAGCCCTAAGGCGGTGATCAGAGTGTTCGACTTCATCTTGAAGAGCACTCGCTGTGTTGCTGGTGTTAGGTGTCGGTGGACTTGAACCAGAATCGCGAAAGAGGAGATGAGATGGGCCAGACTTGTTATCTCAACCGCGACGTGAGATCGTTCAGTTGTGCCAGGCCACTGCCGTCTCTTCCACTCCTGATAAAGAACGCATGCTAGATATTCAAGTCTCGGAAAATATTATCTGTTAATATAGGGAATAGATTCGATAGGCGAGCGGGCTTTGGCGTTGATTCCGGGTAATGTGGAGATCGTTTACTGGTTCGGGACTTGCACATGGGCGTCTAGTCGGTAGTGAACATCACTTTCCGGAGGCGTCGACGGCATTGCATCACCGTTGGGAAGAAGATAATTCCCCTAATCCACATTATATCTATCATTTACTATTTATAGCGTCTCGCTTCGATCGTAGCCTGTGGCCCCTGTCTTCTCACCCTTGATTGTGGTGGTTACGGAGACCTCACCTACAATAGTAAATAAAGTCATGCTGCAATCCTTAAGGTTGATCACTATAAGACCTGTCTAGAAAGCCAGTATGCATATGAATGTTAGTATTAGGACAGATCTCTATTGAAACTACCGAGAAGCAATGATATCTTCAACTCCGTAAGAGGTCTGTACGCTACCCCTTTTCAGACCAAAGCAGTCACATCTAGCTATCATCTTCAATATCGCCCCCCCGCATTACAGTGGCGACGTAATATCAGATATTTTCCTTCTGGCGAATGAGGTTGAATGCCAATTCTTAGTTATTCCTTACACATAATTCGGAAGCAAGGGCTTAGGGGGCGGATGACACACCCGGCTAAAGTCGATAATTAAAACACACCGAGGACTCGAATTATGGCAAACGCCATTGAAGAATCAATTCGAATCGATATATATCTTTTTTTTATAGAATAGCTTGTTTGTCAGAATATCTCCTACAAGTTCGACTCATCCGCCTATCAAGCAAGCAGTCAGTCTTCGACCTCAACCTTTTCACCTAAGCATCACACAACCTCTAAGCACCCACCATGAAGCTCTCAAGCGCCTTCACCCTCATCTGGGCTGCCGTTGCTTTCGGTCAGCAGTTTCCCGAATGCACGCGAGAGCTCGCAGCAACGGACGACTGTGCTGCTGTCATCGACGCCAACGCCTGCTACAACCAGTTCAAGTTCAACAGCAACCAAACACTATCGTGTATCGACGGGACCGATAACAATGACAGAGCTCTGAAGGTATGTTCATTAAGTGAGCGATGCATCGGACGCAAGATTATCTGCTAACATGCTTGGATAGGCCTGCAAGTGCTGCAGCTGCGTCGGTGATGTGATGTGCAACTGGGTAACGAGGCTGCGATTTAACTGCTAGGATGGTTGAGAAAATACAACTACCTGGTACCCATCGAGTAGCCGTGCGGGAGATGTGCGGAGAGACACCAAATGGGAGTTTGTGATCTATCGTGTAAACTGAGGTCTTAGGGCTTGATTATGAAGCAGTACCAGCAGCCCTTGCTCGCTACGTAAAGTCGCCCAGGCATCAGCTTGTTCGTACGGAACTTTAACGAGATTCACGTGTCCCTAATGCTATCTGCACACTGAATACTAGGTACCTAATGTACTTAAATAAAAAGGGGGCAACTAAATGAATGTGTCTCCCTACGCCTACATGTAGGTAGGCGTCTAGAAGCCAGTATTTCCTCTCTGGGGAGTTGCGCAAACATCTCTGAAGAAAGAAAGAAAAGAACAAAAGAAAATTCATCAAGCTGCTGTTGTCATGGATACAATTCCTTTGGGTCATATATCAGGACACCCAAATACCCCAGGCAGGTATAGTCTTTCCATGCGGCCGTACCTTAGTCCAATGGCGCGACATGAATAGGGGTTGGCTCAGACTTGTCGGAACCCTGAGATTGCCCTGCCTCATCGTTGCAAGGGACTGACTTGAAATCTGGTCGCGCAAATCCTTTACCAGCTAATAGCGCACTGGCAAAGTCCATCAGTTCGGCCATCTTGGACTCGTCTGGTACTTGGGAGCTGATGTAGTTGAGCGCCTTGACCCTCATCAAATCCCAGAGCTTCTTGCATTCCTGGAGGTGGCGCTCGAGCGAGATGGCGACAATGATGGTGTAAGCTAAGGGGGCAGCCAATGGACGGGCGACAGCGCTGTTTGTCACCATGTATTCTTGTAGTTCCCGCGCTGCTTGAGCCAGCGAAGGTTCCAAAAGAGACTGCACTCCAACGTCGATACTTCCATCGAAGCTTTGATATCTGAGCAGGCGGATGACAAGCTCTCTTTGAGAATCAGCGGACTCCTTCTTGGCTGCCATTTTGGCCGGTCTCTTGAGCATTCTGATCAATTTCCCGTCCGTCATGGATGTTTTGGCCCTTGGGCGGCGCAACGGCGATGCTCTGGAATCTCTTTTGATAACGCCAGCTGAATGGGCAACAGCGCCATCTTCTTGACTTGCCGGAAAGCGTCTCTCAGGCGTCTTGTCCAAGTATCGGTCGAATCTGCTGGTAAAATAGCAGCACATGCGTTCATCTCGGTTGTGTATTGTTAGGGAGTCTATAACAGGGAGGACAGTACACATATATTCGTCCATCTGGGGCTCAGCATTCTCCTGCTGCAGGAAGAAACTTGTCCACTTAGATAATATGGAAAACCGACAGGCAAGCTCTACAGCTTTCGTTTGCTCAATAATTTTCTTTTCTTGACCCAACGTGTCCTCGAGCATAGGCACGTCAATGGATGTGGGAGCGTTAGAGATGACATTTATGGAATACTCCAAGTCACCAAGAATAGCTCGTACGGCGACGTTATGGATCGTAGAATCCTTGTTGGGTAACAGCTCAACGGAAACATCATGACAGACCCGAGCGCCGTTGATTTGTATTGCTTCGATAGTGACTCGGTTCAAATGGTCTAGTGTAGAGTCTGGTGTAGAGAGGACATATATTCGGTTCCCTTGTAATATGCTGAGATTTCCGATATCGTTTGGCGATCTCAAGTACCTGTCGTAGCTCTCTCCATTGAAAGTGACATTCAGATTGCTGACATGGCTCGTAAGAGCTGTCTTCAGCATTGAGACAACTCGGTCTTCCCAGCCGTCTAGATTTGCAGCTGGAATTACTTCCGAGTAACCTCCGCCTCGAGAAGCTATTCCGTGCACAAGTGCATGTGAAACGTGAGCTCCGATTCCCAAAGAGAAGAATCGTACTGCTCCGCGAGAGAGTGTTCTCGTCTCCTGTACAAGCGCGAGGGCCTCTTCCAGGCGCCAGACCTCTCCATCACTCATAATGATCACATCGCAAGGGTTGGAGAGGTCCCTCGACTGCAACATGTCTTTGAGTGCAGGTACAAGCTCGGTGCCTCCCATGTCGGCTTTGAACTCTGTTTTGACATATTTAAGAGCTAGTTCCAGAGACTTTGCGCTGTAGATTTGTGATTCGTCCCAAAGTCTCGTGTGCATAGTCCCAAAAGACCAAATGTTGAATTTCCAGCCAACGGGGATTCCATTCAGGAAAAAGTTCAGGGAAGATTTCACAGCGTCAATCTTGTCTCTCATAGAACCGGATCTGTCGGCCAAGAAGAGTATCTCTCCAGTCTCAGGAACCTTTCCTCCTTCCATCATCAGGGAAGCAGGAATCGTTATCATCATAGCT